TATCCGGATACAACATTTTGACAACCCTAAGTTCCATGCAGGAGTTCTGGAATAGACTCCCACTTGCGTTTTGGCTGGAAACTGCTGTGCGTCTCTAGAAATTCCAGACCGACGGTGCAGAAGCATACCAGCAAAACTGGTTCGCCACCAGAACCAAGCCACATTTAAAGTGTGCGGTTGGAGAAGTCTAATCTGCCCTTTAGTCACTAATGAGTCATTTTCTAAGCTAGAAATCAAAGCCTCCACTATTAATTAATGGCAGATACGCCTGCAGTCAGGAAGGAAGAAAAGACATTTTAGATAATAGGTTAGGTTAAAGTATAAATTGGGGGAAAATGATAATAATAAAAGGAGATGCATTAAAAGGGAGGAGGTGTCTGTGGCTGTTTTTCTTAATTTTGTCTGATGTTGGTGCAACAAACTAAAAAAAAAAAAAAGAAAAGACCTAATTCTTTTTGGCAGCTGATTTCTTCATCCATCTGTAATTTCCTCTTTTTCCAGGCCATCTATTGACCAAATGAAACGTTTATTGCCGCCACTTCTTCTCCACTCTACCTCTAATAGCTTTAGATTTAAGATAAAACTTTCCTTTCTCACTTTGATATTCTTCCAGTGGAACGGATTTTAAACTGGCAAAGGTCATACTTCGGTAGAAAGTTGGTGAAAGACAGATTTTTGAAAAGTGGTCTTTAAACATGCTTTTAATCGGTATGAGGAAAACTCTTCATGTTTGGAAAGGTGATGTGCAATAAGGAGGAGAAATTTGGTTTATCAAACGTTTGAAAAGTTAACATCTGTTTGCTTCTTCTGACGTTACCTGAAGACTTTCAGTATTTTTTTTTTTTTATTTTGGTTTCAGTCATTCCTTGGTAGAATGATAATTATAAAGCGGTTAAATGACTCCTGGTGTGTTTGCATGGTTCCAGCACATTTCTAGCCTCGCCTTAACGTCCCACTCTGGCTTTCCCCTGCTTCTCCAACCTTTCCCAGCTTCTTAAGCAGCTTTAAAGTATGAGCTTTATTAGCTCTTGTCTCAGAAGGGAGACGCATCCTGGAATTGCATCATGGCTGAGTCTTTGGGGCAAGCAGCTTCATGCACAGATCGGGAAAGCCACGTAATTTCCTCACATGGAAAAGCTGAGATGATTAGCGCTTAGATTTACTTTCCATGGAAATTCATGCAAGATCAGACGGATAAGTAACCCCGCGTTGGTTTCCGGTTGATGGGAAGTTTGCTTTAGGTTTTGAAGGTGGGGTTGTTGATCTGACGTTTTTGATTTCCAAACGTAGAGCGGAGGAGTAAAAAAATCATATGGGTGGAAAACATCCGAAAGGAGGCGCGCCATAAAAAACAGCAAATTATGCACTTTAAAAAAGAAAAAAAAAGATGATTAAGACATTGTTAAGGAGCTCTAGCTAAAAGGTGGGCTTTATATTTTTATTTCTCACAATATTTGTGGTAATTATTCTGAAGTTAAAAGGGATGCAAAAAAGATTCAAAGCTCCTTTTTAAGGCAACTAACTGCATCTCACTCGCTTCCCCTAAACATAGACACTGCTATTAATTAAACACTCATTTCTGAACAGGCTTCTGCTTACAAGACGAAGATTAGTGTGAGGATGAACGCAGATCAATTAAGCAAGAAACCCAAAGTCGATCCTCTACTTTATAACCACAGCTCTGCCACATTTACATCATCAGGGGCCGTTCCGGTTCAATATGAATGTAATTACCAGATGAAATGGCGCATTAAGATAAAATCTATCACTCACTTCCCTTCACTTCACTTTATTTTTTAGCAAATAATCCAAAATTAAACAACAATAACAAAACAAAACCAACAATTTACCGAAAAACAGGAATAGGCTGAAGAAAAGCTTATTATTGCCTACCCTGTTTTCTACTTACAATCTTTACAACCTACCAGGTTCTTTACTGCGTATATAAATATTCAATTCTACATAACATAGGATTTTATCATTTTACATTTTAAAGCCCTTTTAAAATTCACCAAGAAAGGACATAACTTTAAATCATCATTCAATTCATTCAACATTTTCACACCAATAACTGAAACACATCTAGACTTTATCTGGCTCTTCTCTTTTGCGCATTCCAATATAAACAAACCTCGCAAATTATATTTATTCTCTCTTAACTTTAATAATTTCTGAATACCTTTAAACTGTAAACATTTTGCTCTAACGGACCAATCAGAGGGCAGAAAATGCTGAGGTTAGGGCGGGCTCGCTAGCTGATCCTGTGGGGTAAATCTGAAATTCTATTGGTTGAAGAAGACGTTCCTCACTAATATTGTTATGGTAACATCAGCCAGCACTGCTGCTTCTGAAGGGCAGATTGGATTGACATAGCAACATAGCACATAGCACATAGAAATCTGATTGGATAAAAAATATAGTAACCACATAAATGTAATGGAAGCAACGCTGCCAAGAGAAACGCTACAAAATTAAGAGAATGGATTGTTTGGAATAAATTAAAACTGTTTGAAAGAAGAAGATTAAAGGTTTAGGTTATGAATGTAGGTTAGTGATTCTGATTGATTTTAATCGAGCAGCGAAGGTCCTGATTGCCCGCCCCTGATTGGAATCAACCACTTTCACAATAAATCAGTTCTCACCACGATGAGATATTTTTCCCAAATAAAAATAAATGATGTGATTGTTTTTTCATTGTTTTCATGTCCTTATCTAACATTTTGTGATAAATCCATAACTTCTCATCACTCTGTCCTTTATTTTCTGTTCTTACGACGCTTCTCTAAAACTGAGCTTCTTCTGCAGTCAAACTTTACTGGTTTTCAAAGCAAACATGAAGCTTGGAAGATAATGCATTTTAAATATCCATTTGTAATAATCTCATGGTGTAGCAGTGCAAAAGTAAACATCCTTGGCGTTATAAAAGCAGTTTAAAACCCATATCAATGTGAAGCAGCCCCATCAGATGTCTTCCTGCTTTCTAACTAGGAGTTGTTTGGTCTTTGCAGCCAACTGCAGTGATGACATGAACCGTTTCCTCAGATTCAGGAAGGAGATTAATGCCTGTGGGCGACACCTCAGTTTGCTACATTAGCACGAGTTAATCAGAGGCCTTTGCTCGTGTTTACACCCCTGAACCTTTCTCTGCTCCGTCTGCCTGCAGCTGCATCGATTCCTGGTCCAAGGTGAAGCCCTGCTGCCCTGAACATCCCTTCAATTGACTCGCAGGCCAGGTGTTTGAAGCCCAGCGACCAGCTTGACTCAGGTATGTGGACAGTAGCTAGATGTTTCTACATGTATAGAGATGTTTTTAGACTCTGCAAGATGTTCTGTGTTTGTAGCATTCCTGGTTAAGAAGTGTGAATATTCTTGAAAATAGAAATAATCTGATAATAATCACTCCATGAAGTCGGCTAATTTGCTGCTGCTGATTATGCATGCTGACGTAAGGAGGTGGGCGGAGCTAGAGGGCTGATGGTGTATGTGTGCTGGATAAAAAACCTTGTTTGTTGCTTTGAGGGAAAAAGTGAGATCTAAATTCTTCTCAGTTTATCACACTGAAAAGTTCAATGTTTTGATAAAAAAAAAAAAAGAATCTTTATCAGAAAAATTAAACATTTATATCACTTAGACTTAGAGAAACGTTGTCATTTTGCACACACAGATTGTATACAAAACAAAATTTCCATTTCTTAAAGTGCAGCAGTGCTAAAATGTAAACATGGTGATCAAATGTCAACATAAGAATGGGATATGATTAAGTTAGTGATATTCTGTTAAAAATACCAGAAAGGCAACATGGACAAAATCACTTGGACTTTCTGCTTATATCTTCTGTTATAATCTTAAATGGATGAAGCTGTGATTGCTGATGTGATGGAAATCTGTCTTTCTAAATAAAAAATAAAAAATAAAAAAGAATGGGATATGATTTATAAGTTGCCTGCTTTGTAGCGTTTTGAACGGCATATTTTATGGAATTGTGGAGAGCACATCATGGCCGCCGCCACGAGGCGCCGCCATGATCTCTGTCTCTCAGCAGCAGATCAATAGTTTTCTCTGCTAACATTTTTGACCTTTTGTTGGGACACCAACCAGTTTCAAATCACTTCCATTAAATCAAATAAACCAGGGTGCAGTGCTAAGGCAAACGACATCAACAACCTGCAGTGGTTTATGCCAATTGTTTACCATTAAGCCTGGTTTATGCTCGCTGTGTCGAACAGGGTGCAAGGGCTCGTGTGCCAAAAGTTACGCAATCTGCAAGCGGCCACACCGCTAGGACATGTACCTCCGAATTATTTTAACTTAGAGTGGACCGTGTGTTCCAGCCTCGTTCCAAATAGGAGGATATAAAGTTCTTCTCCTTTGACAAGTTTGCCTTTACTGACATCAGATGGTGCAGAAGGTTGAAGTAGAGCAGTTTGGTTAAATGCAGAGTTGTTGCTGTTTATTCAGTGTCTGCAAACAGCAGAAGGGAAGAGTTCACTGACCCAGCTGCTGGTAAAAACAAGGATCTTAGTTTGTTTCCATCACATACAGCTTAAAATCTGAAACTATCACCTGTAGTCGACAGAGAAACCAACTTAGAGCAGTAATTATATCAAAATTGTTTAAAAATGCATATAAACATTTTGCATTTAAAGTCATATTTAAATTTCTTATTATTTTGGCTTAAACTTGTATATACGTGTACTATATATCAGACCATATTTTCCCGAAAGGTTAGAAAATTACTATATATAAAAAAAAAATTCCTGTCTTAAAATCGGTTTTTATTTTTTCGTTATCTTCTGCAGGCCGGTTAGTTATACGTCAGCCTGAACACCTAAATTCAGCCAATCATATGTCAACGGTCATCTGTCAATCACATTTTTTCAGTCATAGCATCTTGATTCTTATGTCGCAGCTAATATACACAACGCTTGAAATAAGAATCATTTCCTTTCCCATTGAGTTCAGTCCCAGTGTTGACGGGGATGGACGTCTGTGTCTTCAGCAGGCGTAGAGCTAACAGAACTGGCAGCGTTGCGAGGCAAGGGCTTAAACATGTACGGCTGGAAGCCTTCTACACCAAACCAAGCTTCTGCCGCCCTGGTGTCCTCTTCCACAACATCTTCATCCCNAATAATTTCTGAATACCTTTAAACTGTAAACATTTTGCTCTAACGGACCAATCAGAGGGCAGAAAATGCTGAAATTAGGGCGGGCCTGCTAGCTGATCCTGTGGGGTAAATCTGAAATTCTATTGGTTGAAGAAGACGTTCCTCACTAATATTGTTATGGTAACATCAGCCAGCACTGCTGCTTCTGAAGGGCAGATTGGATTGACATAGCAACATAGCACATAGCACATAGAAATCTGATTGGATAAAAAATATAGTAACCACATAAATGTAATGGAAGCAACGCTGCCAAGAGAAACGCTACAAAATTAAGAGAATGGATTGTTTGGAATAAATTAAAACTGTTTGAAAGAAGAAGATTAAAGGTTTAGGTTATGAATGTAGGTTAGTGATTCTGATTGATTTTAATCGAGCAGCGAAGGTCCTGATTGCCCGCCCCTGATTGGAATCAACCACTTTCACAATAAATCAGTTCTCACCACGATGAGATATTTTTCCCAAATAAAAATAAATGATGTGATTGTTTTTTCATTGTTTTCATGTCCTTATCTAACATTTTGTGATAAATCCATAACTTCTCATCACTCTGTCCTTTATTTTCTGTTCTTACGACGCTTCTCTAAAACTGAGCTTCTTCTGCAGTCAAACTTTACTGGTTTTCAAAGCAAACATGAAGCTTGGAAGATAATGCATTTTAAATATCCATTTGTAATAATCTCATGGTGTAGCAGTGCAAAAGTAAACATCCTTGGCGTTATAAAAGCAGTTTAAAACCCATATCAATGTGAAGCAGCCCCATCAGATGTCTTCCTGCTTTCTAACTAGGAGTTGTTTGGTCTTTGCAGCCAACTGCAGTGATGACATGAACCGTTTCCTCAGATTCAGGAAGGAGATTAATGCCTGTGGGCGACACCTCAGTTTGCTACATTAGCACGAGTTAATCAGAGGCCTTTGCTCGTGTTTACACCCCTGAACCTTTCTCTGCTCCGTCTGCCTGCAGCTGCATCGATTCCTGGTCCAAGGTGAAGCCCTGCTGCCCTGAACATCCCTTCAATTGACTCGCAGGCCAGGTGTTTGAAGCCCAGCGACCAGCTTGACTCAGGTATGTGGACAGTAGCTAGATGTTTCTACATGTATAGAGATGTTTTTAGACTCTGCAAGATGTTCTGTGTTTGTAGCATTCCTGGTTAAGAAGTGTGAATATTCTTGAAAATAGAAATAATCTGATAATAATCACTCCATGAAGTCGGCTAATTTGCTGCTGCTGATTATGCATGCTGACGTAAGGAGGTGGGCGGAGCTAGAGGGCTGATGGTGTATGTGTGCTGGATAAAAAACCTTGTTTGTTGCTTTGAGGGAAAAAGTGAGATCTAAATTCTTCTCAGTTTATCACACTGAAAAGTTCAATGTTTTGATAAAAAAAAAAAAAGAATCTTTATCAGAAAAATTAAACATTTATATCACTTAGACTTAGAGAAACGTTGTCATTTTGCACACACAGATTGTATACTAAACAAAATTTCCATTTCTTAAAGTGCAGCAGTGCTAAAATGTAAACATAAGAATGGGATATGATTAAGTTAGTGATATTTTGTTAAAAATACCAGAAAGGCAACATGGACAAAATCACTTTCTGCTTATATCTTCTGTTATAATCTTAAATGGATGAAGCTGTGATTGCTGATGTGATGGAAATCTGTCTTTCTAAATAAAAAATAAAAAATAAAAAAGAATGGGATATGATTTATAAGTTGCCTGCTTTGTAGCGTTTTGAACGGCATATTTTATGGAATTGTGGAGAGCACATCATGGCCGCCGCCACGAGGCGCCGCCATGATCTCTGTCTCTCAGCAGCAGATCAATAGTTTTCTCTGCTAACATTTTTGACCTTTTGTTGGGACACCAACCAGTTTCAAATCACTTCCATTAAATCAAATAAACCAGGGTGCAGTGCTAAGGCAAACGACATCAACAACCTGCAGTGGTTTATGCCAATTGTTTACCATTAAGCCTGGTTTATGCTCGCTGTGTCGAACAGGGTGCAAGGGCTCGTGTGCCAAAAGTTACGCAATCTGCAAGCGGCCACACCGCTAGGACATGTACCTCCGAATTATTTTAACTTAGAGTGGACCGTGTGTTCCAGCCTCGTTCCAAATAGGAGGATATAAAGTTCTTCTCCTTTGACAAGTTTGCCTTTACTGACATCAGATGGTGCAGAAGGTTGAAGTAGAGCAGTTTGGTTAAATGCAGAGTTGTTGCTGTTTATTCAGTGTCTGCAAACAGCAGAAGGGAAGAGTTCACTGACCCAGCTGCTGGTAAAAACAAGGATCTTAGTTTGTTTCCATCACATACAGCTTAAAATCTGAAACTATCACCTGTAGTCGACAGAGAAACCAACTTAGAGCAGTAATTATATCAAAATTGTTTAAAAATGCATATAAACATTTTGCATTTAAAGTCATATTTAAATTTCTTATTATTTTGGCTTAAACTTGTATATACGTGTACTATATATCAGACCATATTTTCCCGAAAGGTTAGAAAATTACTATATATAAAAAAAAAATTCCTGTCTTAAAATCGGTTTTTATTTTTTCGTTATCTTCTGCAGGCCGGTTAGTTATACGTCAGCCTGAACACCTAAATTCAGCCAATCATATGTCAACGGTCATCTGTCAATCACATTTTTTCAGTCATAGCATCTTGATTCTTATGTCGCAGCTAATATACACAACGCTTGAAATAAGAATCATTTCCTTTCCCATTGAGTTCAGTCCCAGTGTTGACGGGGATGGACGTCTGTGTCTTCAGCAGGCGTAGAGCTAACAGAACTGGCAGCGTTGCGAGGCAAGGGCTTAAACATGTACGGCTGGAAGCCTTCTACACCAAACCAAGCTTCTGCCGCCCTGGTGTCCTCTTCCACAACATCTTCATCCCGCTGTCCTCCTCTAAATAAAGAAATGTATGACTGAGGAGACTCATCCACGACCTCCGACACAAAACTCTCCTCCTCTTGCATGTTTCCGCTGTCCATAGCGTTCCTTGACAGTGTCGTTTCTAAGTCACCAATTTAGTGCTACTTGGTCCCAATGTTATTTCCCATTGGGAACCTACTAGCACTAAGTAGCTAACTGGTTAG